AGTGTGGGATACAGAGGCGCTGGCGCTCCGTCCACAAGTAAAATTCAGAAGAGGTGTACCCAAAGAAGTTGTCCCAGTGTAGCTGACGGAGAACAAAGTGGGTAACTTGGATAGTGTGACATCACCTCAAGGAGCCTCAGTTTTCTCCTGAGTGGATAATACCACCTACTTAAACAGCTCTCACGGGAATCCAAAAGGACACTTCATATGCAAGTGCCTGATACGTGAGTTCCTCGGTAAATGGTAATGATATTTAAATCATTACATTTAAATACATGTACAAATATTCATCTCTATCTATACACATCCATAATGATTCCAAAGAAAAACTGTGTTCACTCTTGCAACACTCAACTGAAGAAAACAAAATGCATGCCGCAGACACCATGACCCAACCAAACGTGAAGGGTATCTTCTAGGTTTTGAAATGTTACCCTAAACTGTAAGAGCCTATCCCGTGAGAGAAAGAAAAAACCCTCTTATTGTCTAACAGAATATCTAAAATGTGAGGATGCCCCAGAAGTATGAGTGGACCACAAAGTAAAGGAAGAAACCCATGAACTCCACGTGCCTCTGAAGCCCTTGGCAGCTGGCCTCAACCTCCCCTCAGCCCCCTCCATGCGCCTGCACTCAGGACCGCAGAGCAGCAGCAGCCAGCCATACACCGCAGGCCTCAGGGGCCTCTGCACCTGCCGGCCCCAGGTTCAGGAACAGCCTCTCCACCCTGGCCTGCTAGCTCACTCCAGCTCCCTCTTCCTTCAGTACTCCATTCGAGTGCAACTTCCTCTGTGCAACCACAGCAACAAGAATCACCTGTATCCTAACTGCCTTTTCTTGTTTTATTTACTTGTCTATTGCCCACCAGCCCAAGAGTTCTCTGAAGTCAAGAGCTCCATGATGCACTGTCCTTTCTCCATCACCTGGCATGCTGCTCAACACTGTACTCAGTGGGCACTGAGTTCCTGGCTTGTTTGACAGCCCCCAACTCGAGGGCACCTAAAAAGGAGGCTCCTGAATTCCATCACTGTGTCCCACCGGCAGGGCACCGTAACTGACCCACACCTGGAGCACAATATATGTTGCGCTTTAATTGAGCAACGAGGCATAGTAAGGGAAGGTCAGAAGGAAGCCTGAGCCTGGCCTCTGCAGTCCACGCTGCTAGGATATGGGCCCTGTCCAGAAACCGGACTTGCACTCGAGGCCAGAGGGCAGGGGCACAAGGACCTAAGGGAAGACACCACATCCGGTCCACTGCAAAATGGATGGAGTGATACAGCGGTGGCCAGGCAAAACGAGGACATCCTCTTTGGCACTGAGGAGGTCCTACCTGGGAAGAAATGGAATGGCACAAGGAAGGAGGGAGGAAGCAGCACACGAAGCAGCACAGGATTGAAGTGAACTCGGGGGGGGTTTAGGGTCTGAGGATGAGAACAGGCTGCGTGATGAGACGGTGCCGCTGGCAGTGGACAGTCTGTGGCGGGTCTGAGTATGAAGAGAAGCAGGAGAAGGGGACACCAGGCAGGCCCCTTTCCCACAAAAGATTCCACAACCCCGCCACTGGACTTACTGCATAATACAAATAAATGCACCCTCTGAAGCTGTGTCAAAACAGTTTACAGACAGGTGTAAACACCCTGCTCCCCAAAATTCCCTGGGCCTGCCTGTGCCAGTGAACCCCTACTGTAACAAGGGACACAGATGGTGAATGGGCCCACACAATTGAGCAAGCTAGTGTATTCAAAGCCATGGCGAGCTGGGCATGGTGGCTCACTCTGGTAACCCCGGCACTTAAAGGCCAAGGCGGGCAGGTCACTTGAGGTCAGGAGTTCGAGACCAGCCTGGTCAACAATGGTGAAATCCCGTCTCTACTAAAAATACAAAAATTAGCCGGGCATGGTGGCGCACACCTGTAATCCCAGCTACTCTGGAGGCTGAGATAAGAGAAGCACTTGAACCCGGGAGGTGGAGGTTGCAGTGAGCTGAGATCGTGCCACTACACTCCAGCCTGGGTGACAGAGCAAGACTCCTGTCTCGAATTAAAAGAGAAAAAAAAAAATAGTGAATTTCAGAAGGAAACAGGAAAGGTAACGCTGCAGCTGGCCTAAAGCCACCAAACTAGCTGGGGCAAACGATGAAACAGCAGACCCACCAGAAATTCAACAGGAAGAGCCAGTGCATGAGAGAGCACAGAAGGCCATGGTGAGACCCTAGTTATCCCCAGTGAAACCGTTCCCATAAACTTCATAAAATTAACCAGGGAAGAAGGGAAGGGGAGAAGGGAAAATAAGCATAGCCTGCAACATGCTCAGCGTTCATCGTGAGGGCAGCCTCCAGACCTGCTCTCAGTATTGCTGGTGCCTAAATTACCCGAGAATCACACAGACGCTACTCCGAGACCACCGTTCCCCTAACAGCTCTATCGACAGCCACTTGAACATTACAAAACGTTATGTTTTCCCTCTCAGATATTCTTTCAGGTCCTGCATACCAGTGTAATCACCGACGTCAGCTGGCCTGAAGGACCCCACTTATGCCAGGTGTTCGAGGGACCCCATGAAGAGTTGATTCACCAAAGAATGCAGTTTCCACATCCTGGTATTTCATCCCCCTCACCCCAACCAATGACCTTCACCCTCCACAACCCCCTTAAAAACCACAGCCCAGAATTCCTCAGGGAGATGGATTTGAGGGTCTCCTCCTACCTCCTCGTGTGGCATCCTGCTATCATTAAACTCCTTCTTCACTGCAAAGCCTGCTGTCTCCATGTCATAGGTCTGCGACTATGCAGGAGGCAAATGAGCCTGTTGGTCCCACAGTGCTGGAAACTTGGGCGGCTGTGCACACGCACAAGCACCCACCCACTCAGGACAAACCAGGGAAGCCCCGTGAGCCACTGGCCCCAGCTCCATGTGCGACCTTGTGAATTCAGACCAAAAAAACAGCCCTGAAGTTTGAAAGCAATCCCCAAGGCATGCGCAGAGCCATGGGGGAACAGTGGAAGGCCTGCCGAACTAAAGTGTTTCAGCACAACTCTCATCAGACACTGGCTACCCACAAAGCTCCGGGGCACAGGGGGAACACCCTGGGAATCCAGGTGGGCAGTAAAAATAGGAAGGAGAAAATCATCAACCAGCAGAGACGTCACACACTGAGGAAAACAGACCCCACAAAGATTAGTCAAGGCAAGTTTCCAAACCAATGGACAAACAAGAAGAGCAGTAACAGGCAGCCCCGGGGGAGGGCGGGGTCTCAGCCTCCAATTTGCTGCCATCCCTTATCTAAAAGGTCCAGCTTTCCAAAAAACATTAGGAGACAAGCAAAGAAAGAGGAACGCGTGACCCATGCGCAGGTAAAGCTGGCGGCTTCAGGAGGTGCTCTCTCACTCTGCTGAGCCTTTGCCCACCATCGACTGTCTCACTCCCAACCAGCGACCGGCCACCGATCCACCGTACCCCAGCCACACAACAGCCCAGTGCAAAGGAGCAGGTAGAGGGCCCCTGTGTGGTCCAAGCCTTCTCCCACCAAGGCTCCCCGCTCTGAAGCCACTGCTGTCTCCAGCAGCCTTTCTGAGAGCTCCAAGGGGAGACCGTGTGTGTAGACAGAGAGAAGAGAGAAACGTGTCACTGCTCTCCACAGCAGACAGAGTGCAGCCACACACTGGGGGCCTGAGCTGCAGCTCAAACGTAACGATGCCGGGGTCGGGGGGGCCTGAACACAGAGTCAGCCGGTGATGAGGATGCGGATGCAGGGGGCTGGAGGCGATGTGAACGCCGAGGGGCTCTCGGAGAAAGCCACCTCCCCAGCCCTCCCTGCCTCAAGCCCACCGCAACAGCACCCTCCTGTATTTGGTAGCTCCATGCATGTCATGTGTCGTGCAGATGCACACTGGGGCCTCTGCTGCCTCTGCTGGAAGCTTCTCCCACATCAGTCCCTTGGCTAACACAAGAGCCCAGCAACACAGTAACCAAGCCGCCATGTGGACAGAAGCTCTCCAGGAATGGGGCCGTCCCTGCGACCAACAACCCATTTCTTCACTGCAGAGCCGTGAAGGGGAGAGGACTCTTCCCCGAAAAGCAGCTCCGCATAACTTTGATCCACTGACATGACCTCTATCCACCGGAACTGGCCTATTTATTCCCTCTTGCCATGACCTCATCAGACAACACCCCATGCTCCTCACCCTTCCTGCTTAGAGACAGCGGCCCCAGTGCCTCAAATCCACTGTATCACTGACTCACAAGCATCTTGGCCAAGCGATTCTGATGTTCCTAACCAGTCACTGCCCTCTTAAATTTTGGCATGAGGACTGTAAACAACATCCCAAAGGATGATCCTGAACACATGCATGCCTGAAAGTGATGTTGCTGCCGGCAGCCTGGTCACCACTCTTAGGCCCTGCAGCCCTCCTGCTCTACACACTGGCCCTGGGCCGGCTCAAACAGCCAGCGCTTCCCATGCGCTGAAGACCCAAAAACTTGGAGCACCCGTGTAGACCTCTCCGCCGAGCCAGCAGCCACCTCTGCTCGTGCTGGCCCACGAGCCCCGCGCCACGCAGCTTTGCACTGACATTCACTTGTTACCGGCATATTTGTCTTGGCTTCCTTGGTGCCTCCAAATCAACAACCGGGAAGAGTTGCCAAAAGATCAAGAAAAATATACAGGGTAAACATCCGAACTGAGAATAAGAATGCAATAAATAAACTTGTCAAATGAGTAGGGAAACGGCAGGAGAGATGCTGCTTTAATCACCGCACTGCTGGATTCAGCCCATGGAATCTCCGTGTTCCAAGGACATAACAGTTTGCAACACCAAACAATGCACTCAAGCTTCCCTGTGACTGCTTTCCAAAACATTGTCCAAGAACAAACACTACTGAGAATCCAGCTTTCAGACACACACAGCCTCTCCTTTCTGAAAAGTGCTCGAAGCTGTGCTTCAGAAAAGGCTGTGAAGAAGCCCAGATGTCGCACAGCAAGTGCCGCCTGCAAAGCCAACTCACCTTGACGTGGCTGTAGTCACCTGCTTTGCTGCTCTCGGGTGGGTTCACAGGTTTGCCCTCCACTCGGGGCCGAACCACCTGCCGAAAAGGACTGGACAGGGGAAAACCACTCACACTGATTCCATCTGCAAAATAAGAACAAAACTCCTAAGTAACACGCCAGCTTGGTTTTGGAGGTTTTTGTTGGTGGTGTTGCTGTTGTTTTGATGGGTGTTGCTCTGTCGCCCAGGCTGCAGTGGTGCAATCTCTGCCCACTGCAATCTTTGCCTTCCAGGCTCCAGTGATCCTCCCACCTTAGCCTCCCTAATACCTGGGACTACAGACTACAGGCATGCAACTACACATGGCTAATTTTTGTATTTTTTGTAGAGATGGGGTTTCACCATGTTGCCCAAGCTGGTTTTTTTTTTCTTTGAATGTAAGGGATTTTGTTCAAAAACTGTGATAGTAAGGAGCATGCCAGTTTCTGTCCTGACGTTCTATCTTATATCAGTTACAACCGCCTGATGTGTGCTCCGTAAGCACACATTCACATCCGCTATGAGTAAATGTTGAGAGTGTATCACTCCTTAAAAAGGACAGCTCCTCACCACCTGGATGTGACAGCCGAGGCCCCAGTCTTCCCTCTGCGCATGAACCACACAGAGCCCATCTCTCCCCTGAGCCTCTGCTGAGCTGCTCCTCAGGCTGGAATGAGTCCCTCTACCTTAGTGCAGCCAGCTGTCTCTTGCTGCTTGACCTTAGTCAAAATGCCACCTCTTAGCTCAGCTTCAGGCAGCCGCCACTCTCTGCCACAAGACCCTACTTAAGCCTCCAAGGAGCACACACGGCCATCTGTTTTTTTTTTTCTTATTAGTTAGCATTATCTATCAACTGATCCATCTAACCCACAACTCATCTTTAAGTCCTCTCTGCATCTCATAACACATGTCCAACCCAAAAGGAAATCCTGCTAGCTCTCAAGAGTACACCCAGGACGGCCCTCGTGGCCAGCACCCACTGAGTCACTGCCGTCTCCCTCCTGGCTCTTCTCCCCTGTTGCCTTCACTCCTTTACCTAAGTCAACTCCCCAGACAGCGGGCAGAGCTGCCTGAGGAAAGGGGGCTCACACCCTGGCCCTACCACTCAACAGAAGATGCCAAAGTCTGCACTGGTCTCCAAGGCAACTGCGTGATCCAGCCCTCAGTCACCCTCCAATTCCCAGTTGACGGAAGAGAAGACCTGGCTGAAGGAATGAGTTATTTGACTACAGCTTTATATATTTTCAAGAATGTAAAGACATCAACTCGTAAGAAGTTATTTTCAAGTGCCTGCAGTTCCTAACAGAACCCAGCTGGCCTATAGGAGAAGTCAGAAGTCTGCCTATGAGTATGGCAAGTATCACAGAGTGCCAGCATCAACCAGGCCACAAGAACAAACCACCAGAAGCAATCAGTGCAAGAACTAATGTTAATAATGATTGGGGCGTAAGATACGGGGAACAGCAGACAAAAGAGCAAATGGTAGAAAATGAGGGTGGTAAGATGTCAGCTCACATCGGTATGACACTTTACAGTTTCTTTTTTTTTTTTTTTTTTAGACAGAGTTTCGACCTTTTGCCCAGGCTGGAGTGCAGTGACACAAACTCGGCTCACTGTAACCTCCGCCTTCTGGGTTCAAGCGATTCTCCTGCCTCAGCCTCCCGAGTAGCTGGTATTACAGGTGCTCGCCACTGCGTCCGGCAAATTTTTGTATTTTTAGTAGAGACGGGGTTTCACCATGTTAGCCAGGCTGGTCCTGAACTCCTGACATTGTGATCCGCCCACCTCAGCCTCCCAAAGTGCTGGGATTACAGGCGTGAGCCACCACACCCGGCTGACACTTTACAGTTTCTAAACTTGCCCCCATTTCATTTATTCTTTTTTTTAAGTTCCGGGGCACATGTGCAGGGTGTGCAGGTTTGCTGCACAGGTGAACTTGAGTGCCGTGGTGGTTTGCTGCACCTGTCAACTCATCACCTAGGCATTAAGGCCAGCATGTGTTAACTATTTTTCCTAATGCTCTGTCTCCCCTCACTCCACCTCCTGACAGGCCCCAGAGTGTGTTGTTATCCTCCCTGTGTCCATGTGTTCTCACTGTTGAGCTCCCACTTAGAAGGAAGAACATGCAGTCTTTGGTTTTCTGCTCCTGTGTTACTTTGCTGAGGATAATGAAACTTGCCCCTATTTAAAAGAGCAGCAATGAAAAAGCTGCCCACAGTCATACTGGCAATAACTGATCCTAGGCATAGCACTACACGTGAACAGATGTTTAGTAGACTTGACTGGATGGATGGATGGGTACCTGGGTGGCAGGTCTGAAACACACCCGGTGCTTTCGATCCCAAGCCGAGAATCCTTTTCACTTTCACACAGTTGCTGGGAAAGAAAATTTCAACGGCGGCTCATCTCAAACAAACCCAACTAAGTCACCTCTCATTAAGAAACTAAAGCTTCTTGCGATAAGATGAAGAGTATTTACTTTTAATTGACACAAAATGTGTATTTCAAAATTCTCAGTCACTTAGACCCAAGGCCCTATGCCTAATATCTCTTTGCAAAAATATATAATTAGTCAAGCATAATAGAAATAGTTCATAATTTTAAAAAAAGAGAGAACACTTCTCTTAAGCATCATTTGCTAAGGTATGTTCCCTTAAGTAATTCAACGTTCACAATGCCAAACAACGTTCAAGTGGGTAAGGAAGAATTAAGCAATTTTCTATTTAAAGGCTTCAAATCTCCAAAAGCTAAATTTTCTTAAGTTAAAAAACAGTCTACTTGAAAAGTTCATTACACCTTATGCTCAAAATAGCACATGAAGGAACCAGACATTGTGCGTCTATAATAAGAAAAATGACAAACTGATCTGTTTCTGTTGGTAGTGCCTATGGAATACATGTCTGAGGACAGTGATCAAGCACTTAAGAGTAGGGTCCTCTCGGCTGGGCGTGGTGGCTCACGCCTGTAATCCCAGCACTTTGGGAGGCCAAGGCAGGCGGATCACAAAGTCAGGAGACCAAGATCATCCTGGCCCACATGGTGAAACCCTGTCTCTAATAAAATATATTTTTTTAAAAAAATTAGCTGGACATAGTGATGCATACCTGTAGTCCCAGCTACTTGGGAGGCTGAGGCAGGGGAATTGCTTGAGCCCGGGAGGCAGAAGTTGCAGTGAGCTGAGATCGCACCACTGCACTCCAGTCTGGAAACAAAGCAAGACTCTGTGTCAAAAAAAAAAAATAAAAAGTAGGGTCCTCTCTGCACTTTACAGAAAACAGAGGTGCCCAACAGGACCCTGTTCAAGCATTGCATGCAAGCAGCAAAGGTCCACCTGACGTCCCACAAGCAGCTCAGGCTGAATAGGCACGAAACGAACCTCAGAAGATTCTACTCCTCATAACATGCTAGGCTACTCAGACCAGCTCAGCCACTGAGAACAGCTAGAAAACACAGACAAAGTAGTCTTAAAATCCATGCAAGCATCAGAGATCTAAGAAGAACTACAAGGCTACTGTCCGGCAGAAGGGCGAAAGACAGAGACAGGAGCCTACAGATTTCAGAAGAGTTCACCAAGAGGCTGAGAATCTGAGCAGAACCTCTGACATATTCCACGGACTCGATGTGAAAAACACTGGTGTTCAGTGTTCCCCGTGGAGAGTGGACAGTAAATCCGGGAAGCTTCGGGCAGGGCCACAGAGTGAAGGGGAGATTGGAAATAAGGCAGCACTTGCTGGGACTAAGGCCCAGCTTTGAGCCATGTCAGGCCCTGCAACTTGATTTATGCCATTTTTCTACCAAAATTCATTCCTCATCACTCCTTGTTCTACCCCCATTCTTTTTTACCTTTATGCATTGGTAATTATCTTCCCTCTGACAACCTGACACCCTGATATCCCCCAATTTTTGGCCTCAGTTCAAATGCTCCCTCTTCCATAATGTCTCCCCTAGCTGCTCTAATGGAAAGCAAGCACATCTTCCTGGGAGTTCCAGCATCTTCTCGGTCCTGAGACCCGTGCCTACCTCCTGCTGACCTGTACACAGGCAGAGAGCCCAAGGGTAGGAGGTCAGAGGGGTCAGGGCTGAGGTGCGGCTCCCCTTCTATCTGGCTGAATTACCTTCATCAAGTCACATAACATTCTATGAGCTTCAAATCCATCATCCCCCAAATGGGAATAATTAGAACACATATACTGAAGGGTTATATAAAGAATAATTGAATTACTGCACAGGAAGTATTGATCTCAATGCCTGGTACATAGCAAGTATTCAATAAAAAGAGCTGTTAGCATTCCTACTGCAGCAAATTAGGCGTGTCTTAGATTCCTTCATGACTATAAACTCCTTGAAGACTGACTTCTTGACAAGATTCACCACTGTGTCCCTCATAGTAGCTAATGCAGGCTCTAGCAAATTGTAATCCCTCAGTAAATAGTAACTAAATGAATGAATAAATTACAGGGTCAAATCCAATATTTAGTTGACATGCAAACAGTTTACACACACACTCAACAAAAATTCCATCATTCCAAAGTCACATTCAACAACCAACTCCTAGTTAACTGAAATTCATCAGGGATTAAGAAACCATCATTCTCAGCAAACTGACAGAAGAGCAGAAGATCAAACACTGCATGTTCTCACTCACTGGTGGATGTTGAACAATGAGAACACATGGACACAGGGAGGGGAGCACTACACAGTTGGGTCAGTTGAGGGGACATAGGGGAGGGACGGTGGGGGGTGGGGAGTTGGGGAGAGATAGCAAGGGGAGAGATGCCAGATGTAGGTGATGGGGAGGAAGGCAGCAAATCACACTGCCACATGTGTACCTATGCAACAATCTTGCATGTTCTTCACATGTACCCCAAAACCTAAAATGCAGTAAAATAAATAAATTGGAAAAAAAAAAAAAAAAAAAAAAAAAAAACCAGAAACCAGAAGATGGCCAAATAGGAACAGCTCTGGAGTGCAACTCCCAGCAAGAACGCAGAGGGTGAGTGATCACCCCATTTCCAAATGAGTTTTTATTGCCCATAGACCAGGAGATTCCGAGGCGGAAAAGCACCATGAGTCTCCAGCGAAGCCGTTTCAGCCGAAGCTGTGGG